ACAATCAAACTATTTTGCCTATTTCATCACAATTCTTTGAGGACAAGGGCAGTGCTTATTTTTCTTCTAAGATTTATGTATTTATTTGAAAGTCAGAGTTACAGAGAGAGGAGAGAGACAGAGACAGAGATATCACCTATGTGCTGGTTCATTCCCCAAATGGCCACAATGGCTGGGGCTGGGCCAGGGCAAAATCAATTGCCTGGAAATCCATTTGGATCTCCCAAGTGGGTGGCAGGGATCCAAGCAGACTTGAACCACCTTCTGCTGTTTTCCCAGGTACATTAGCTGGGAGTTGGATGGGAAGTGGGGCGCTGGGATATAAACCAGCACCCATATGGGATGCCAGTGTCTCAAGCAGCAACTTCAGCCACTGTATCACAACACCAGCCTCAATGCTGATTTCTTCAAAATGTGCTTCAAGTATTCACAGGGATTTGAATTTCCTCTTGGTGCCCAAATTAAGAGGAGTGAGCCAAGGTGAGACATCCTTCCAGGTGTACTCGTACAAGTGTTCCCAGCAGAGGGAACAAATAAGAGTTGAAGATGCTGGGGCTGGCGTGTAGTGCACTGCTTGTGATGCCGGCATCCCATATTGGAGTGCTGATTCCAGCCCTGGCTACTCTGCTTCTGATCCAGCTTCTAGCTGATGCACCTGGAAAAGCAGCAGAAGATGGCTTAAGTGCTTGGGCCTGTGCCACCCACGGGAGAGACCAGAATGGAACCCCTGGCTCCTGGCTTCCACCTGGCCCTGCCCTGGCTGTTCTAGTCATTTGGGGGAGTAAACCAGCAGAATGAAGATTGATATCCCTCTCTCTCTCTCTCTCTCTCTCTCTCTCTCTCTGCCTTTCAAATAAAAATCTTAAAACACAGAATTGAAGATGCTTCCTGAGTTGACAAGCAGCAGCAAAGACCAGAATTAGGAATCATCAATCAGAGAAAATAGAGAGGGAAGTTGGAGAAATGGAGCCGGCGTCGTGGCTCACTTGGTTAATCCTCCGCCTGTGGTGCCAGCATCCCATATGGGCATCGGGTTCTAGTCTCGGTTGCTCCTCTTCCAGTCCAGCTCTCTGCTCTGGCCCCGGGAAGGCAGTGGAGGATGGCCTGAGTGCTTGGGCCCTGCACCCGCATGGGAAACCAGGAGGAGGCACCTGGCTTCTGGCTTCGGATCGGCGCAGCTCCGGCCATTGCAGCCATTTGGGGAGTGAACCAATGGAAGGAAGATATCTCTCTCTCTCTCTCTCTCTCTCTCTCTCTTTCTCTCTCTCTCTGCCTTTCTTCTCTCTGTGTAACTCTGACTTTCAAATAAATAAAATCTTTAAAAAAAAAAAAGAAAGAAAGTTGGAGAAATCATGGTAAGTGAGCAAATCAAATCCAAACAGCAGTAACAGAAATAAACGCATACATGAGAGAGAGAGAGAGAGAAGATATCAAAAGTGTAGCTGGTGGGAGCATGTGGAGCCAGGGTAGAGCCTGGAGCACCAGCTGTCTGCTGTGACAGCCCTGCCCCCACACTACATCAGCCTCTTGGTCCTCTGGCTCCTAAGCACCCCAGGCTGGACTGTGCATGAACCTCATGACCCAGAAACAGGGTTAAGTTGCTTGCAGACCCACTTTTGAGGCCTTCAAAGGGTGAGGTCGCCTTCTTCCAAGCAGAAGAAGGAGGTTTAGAGACCTCCTAGCTTTAGAAGTTCAGACATGAAGCAGCCCAAGAAGTCCAAGTGTGTCTGTTTCACTTCTGTTTTGCTTAGAACCCCTGTTCACTGTGGAACGCACCTCTCTGGCACTACGGCTTGGATTCTGCTTGGTGTCTATTTTGTCCACGTCCTTGGGGAGGAAACAGCTTTCAGTGCTCCCTAGGGGCTTGCAGGTGAGACCCACCTTCCCCTTCCTTCCGACCTTTTCTGGATTAACTCAGAGTGGACATGACTGCACCAGTTCCACAAGGGAATCGCAGCAGAACGGTGGACGACAGCAGCTTTTGTGACCTGTGCCAACAGTCCTCTTATTTACCTGGGACCAATGACACGGGCAGCTCAGGCCGCCAAGACCATATGGGAATGATGCTGCAACATATCTGCAGAATCCTTTAAAATGTGTTAGGACCTTACATGAAGCTCCATGATGGACCAGACAAGGAAGGCTCCCCTGGTCTCCTTCCCATTTACTAAGTTTTAACCAAAAAACTCAAAAACACCCAACTTACCTGCTTTCATTTTACAGCAAAGCTCAGGCAGAAATAATACATTATATTAATTAAATGTGATGACCTGCCATTAATAGCTCAGGAAAATGCACAAACCACCTTTTTATCCAATCCTTTTTATATCCTAGGGAACTAATGCCTGAAAAGCCAGAGCCATCTCACTTACACACCAGATTCTCTTTGCTCAGCTGCTGTACCTGGGGTGCTTGCGTAAGAATTAAGCAGGATCCCCAGAATCACAGAATTCCAACCTAAAGTCTCAGGCGTATCACTTTTCCAAAAGTTCATAACATCAACTTCGCACGGCAACAGACCCATGAAATTAGGCAACACAACAAGGTTGATGCTAAGTATCAGTTTTCTTAGACCAAAGGGTGTCAAAACATCCTCCACGGAAATTGAGGGCTTACTTGGCAAGGATGGGATAGCGGCTACAAGCACAAGTTAGCATTGTGGGGTCCTCATTGTACTAACACAGCTCAGTTATTTTTCTCATTAAACTTTGTTTTAATGGGTCTCAAAATTCTGTGACAGATTTTTGGTTAAGTTGTTTCCATTAAAAAGTACTGATTTTAAAAACTAATAACTTAAAGCTGCCACTGCCACATACAAAAAATGGCCCACAAAACATTCTCCTTTTTTTTTTTTTAAGATTTATTTTATGCATTTGAATGGCAGAATTAGAGAGAGGTAGAGATAGAGAGAGGTCATCCATCCACTGGTTCACTCCTCAGATGGCCACAATGGCCAGAGCTGCGCCAATCTGAAGCCAGGAGCCAGGAGCTTCCTCCAAGTCTCCCACGTGGGTGCAGGGGCTCAAGGATTTGGGTCATCTTCTACTGCTTTCCTAGGCCATAGCAGAGAGCTGAATCAGAAGAGGAGCAGCCGGGATTAGAACCGGCGCCCATATGGGATGCTGGCACTTCAGGCCACGGCTTTAACCTGATGTGCCACAGCGCCACCCCAAAACATTCTCTTTTCCTTTGGAAAGTTTTACGATGCATTGTTATCATTAACCAGTTTTTTACTATTAAACTTAAATGGCCAATTGAGACAAACAGGAACTAAGACGCTCATACCCCACGTCAGAAGACCTGGGCTCAAATCCCTGCTCCAGCTTGTGACTCCAGCTTCCTGCTAACGCAGACCCTGGGAGGCAGCAGTGATGGTTCGTAATTGGGTCCCTGCCACCCATATGGGAGACTTAGATTGAATTCCTGGATTCCTGGCCCAGTCCCCCAGCTGTTGCAGCCATTTGGGAAGTGAACCAGTAGATGGAAGGTCTCTGTCTCTTTCTCTATCTGCCTCTTAAAACAACAACAAAAAAACAAATAAAAAAGATACTGGAAGAAGCATCCACATTCAAATAAATGAATCTTGATTCATTTCTCACACTATTTGCAAAAATTAACTCAAAATGAATCACAGGGAGTAGGCATTTGGCACAGCAGTTAAGACGCCATTTGGGAAATCCATATCCCATAACAGAGTGCCTGGGTTTGAGCCCCAGCTCTGCCGTTGATTCTGTCTTCCTGCTAATGCACACACTGGAGGCAGCAGGGGTGGCTCAAGTAGTTGGGTTCCTGCCACCCACATGGGAAACTCAGGTTGAGTTCCAGGCTTTTGGCTTCTGCCCCGCCCAGTTTCAGCTGCTGTGGGCATTCCAGAGTATGGAAGACCTCTGTCTGTCTGTCTGTCTCTCTGACTTTCAAATAAAATGAAAATAAATGCAAATTTTAAAATCCATAAACATGTACATGTTAATTCTAGTTTGTGACCATGAGTTAGGCAAACAGTTCTTAGATATGATACCTACAGTATAAATCATAAAAGGAGAAAGAATTGATAAATTGAACTTCATCAAAATGCATAACTTTTGTTCTGCGAAAAACACTACTAAAACATCAAAATACAAGCTGCTGACGGGGAGAAAAATATTTGTAAATCACTTATCTGGCAACAAACTGGCATGCACAATACATGAAGAACTATCAAAACTCAACAATAAGAAAGTGAACAACTGAGTCTTTTTTTTTTTTTTAAAGGAGGTGAGGTTTGAGCAGAGACTTGCTTCATTTTGCCAAAGAAGTTATCTCGGTAGCTAACAAGCATGTGACAGGGGCGTGACATCCTTAGTCAATAGGGAAATGCAAATTTAAGTGGTGGTAACACTGCCCCCATCAAAGTAGTTAAAAAAGAAAAAAGACTCTGACATTATTAAGCAGTGTTGAAGGAGGGGCAGTTAGAGCTCTCTGGTTCTGCTGGTGGGAACGCACAACAGTACGGGCACTTTGGGGAACCTAGGGGTGAACTGAATGTGGGTGGGGCACCACAACACCTGCCCGTCACTGCTGAACCTATGGAACACGGCTCTGGCCAGGTTCTGGTAAGTAAGCCATTCCAACCATAAAATGTCATTGTTTGGCATTTCACACAATGCTTGTTTTTTTCTCAATGTTGACTAAGAAACACAAGAAAGAGGAGGAAAAACAAGATGATTGCCACTAATGCCAGAGAGAACCAAGCCCAAAGCTACACACCAAAGCCCTGTGCATTTGAAGGAGAGCCTACTGTACCTGTCTATGAGAATGCCCACAGCTGCCAGGGCCAGACCCCACACCCCATACCGCATGTTGCCCGCTGGGCATGAAGAATGCTTTTCCAGGTTGAGGTTCCTGAGTGCAAGCCTCCAACAGAAGAAAAAGGGAGAGCAAAAGGGAGAAGAAGAGGTGCAGAAGGAAGAAGAACGGCCCTATATTTCTACCAATGCCTCATTCAGCTTAGGGATACCCACCTGGCAGTCCTGAGGCTCTCTCCATAGGGAGCTAGGTCCTGATGAGCAGACTTTTAAGCCATCTAATGTCTCCTGGGAACTTGGGCCTCCTCCCCATGTGCGTCTCCTTTACCAATTCAGCTGAAAACTGGACCTGCTGCCTTCTGCCAGGTGTTATTTCTACCTCCAGGAGATTTAAATCTTGCTGTCTCATGATGGGCTATGAATCTTAGGCATCCTGTCCTGCCACCTACTGTGGTAGATTTCCTGACAGTGATATGCAAAAAAGAACCTTGAGCAAGAGCAACTTTTATTCAGTAACATTTAAAAATCAACTTCATGGGGCCAGCGCCATGGCGCACTAGGTTAATCCTCCGCCTGCGGTGCCGGCATCCAATATGGGCACCGGTTCTAGTCCCGGCTGCATCTCTTCCAGTCTAGCTCTCTGCTGTGGCCTGGGAAGGCAGTGGAGGATGGCTCAAGTCCTTGGGCCCCTGCACCCATATGGGAGACCAGGAAGAAGCTCCTGGCTCCTGACTTCGGATAGGCGCAGCTCTGGCCATTGTGGCCATTTGGGGAGTGAACCAACAGAAGGAAGACCTTTCTCTTTGTCTCTCCCTGTCACTGTCTATAACTCTACCTCTCAAATAAATAAAAAAAAATCTTTAAAAAATCAACTTCATTAGGTATAAATAGTATACAAGAAAATGCGCTTATTGAAAATATGCATGTGATGGGTTTTCATCAGTGTTTGTCCCTGTATGGGAGAATTCTGAGTCCCCAGCAGTTGAGGTGTACAGCATTTCTGCCATTCCAGAAACAGCTTTGCAGGCTGTTGCAGCCAGTCTCTGCCCTAGGAAACCACTGCTCTGCTCCATGTTCCTCTGGGTTTGTTGTCTTTCCTAGAATTTCATATAAATAAATTATACAGTATCAATGCCTTTGTTTTCAACTGCTTTCACTCTACCTAATTTTTGAAATGCATTTATTTTAGCAAAAGCATACAAATTCATTCCTTTTTACTGAATAGTATCCAGATGATTTTAAAATATGATAACTCGTTGCTTCTAGATTAAGAGCTAAGATAGAGGTAACAAACTTAAGTGCCTAGAAAAGCCAGACAAGTAATGGAAATGAGAGAAAGAGGCTGTATAAGAACAATTTTTAAATAAAGATTTATTTATTTACTTGAAAAGAAGTTACAGAGAGAGAAAGAGAGAGAGAGAGTGCCCTCTCATGTGCTAGCTCCCTTCTCAAATGGCTGCAACAGCCAGGGCTGGGCCAAGTGGAAGTCAGGAACCAGGAACTCCACTTGGGTCTCCAATGAGGGCGCAGGGGCCCAAGCACTTGGGCCATTGTCTGCTGCTTTCCCAGGTGCACTAACAGGGAGCTGGATTGGAATGGAACAGCCCGTACTAGAACCTGGCACTCATATGAAATACCAGCATTCAGGCCATGGCTGAATCTGTGGCATGCAATGCCGGCCCCAAGAACATTTATTTTTGAGAACGCTAGACCTCTTGCTACATTCTCATTTTCCAAAGAAATCTTTTATTTTCTTCAACTTTAAGGAAAGCCTAAGTGCAAGTATGATGGTAAATGGCTACAGACATCTAGATTTTCAGGGTTCAGTAAGGAATGAAGGTGATGTGGCACATTACCACGTCCGCGCCCTTGTAAAGGAAGCAACTTGACTGTGGGAACAGGGGAACAGTTGTCATATCTTCTTGTTCTGGAGAAGTCCTGGATTTGCATGTGAAATCTGAGCTTTTTAAGTGTTGGAAACAAATTTAAATTTTATTAAAATACTGAATAGCCCAACTCTGTTCAGGCCAAATAAAGCAGATTTGGGGGCCACATGTGGACTGGGAGACACCACTTTGTGTCCTCTTGTTGCAAGCAGGGGATGGAATAGGGTCCAAGCTCTTGTCACCATGAGAGAAAGAAGAGACATAGATAAAGGTGAGCAGGAAAACGAGATTTATTTAAAGAGAAAGTCCACGTCCTCAAAGGAGTAAGTGCAGACAACCTCAAGAGAGCGAGCTGCAATTATCAGGGTCTGAGACTATCTTTTTATACTGTCTGGAGGCATAGGGGGTATGTCTGGGGTCTGGCTTAATTAGATATTCAAAGAGGGCAGAATTTGGAGGAGGGTTGGGTATTGCCCGTTTCCATGTCTCCTTTTGTGAACTCTCAGAAGTGTCCTGGCATCAGTGCCTGATAGGTGTAGGGTCGACTGCACACAGGGCTGCAGCACAGGTGCCTGCCAACCTCAGCTGCTTTTCGCATTCCTTAGCTACATCACCCTGGTGGGGACAGAGAAATCGAACCCAGGCTTCTCACTCCACACATCCACTCTGCAGAACCATCCTGGTCCCGTTGGTTACCTCGCTGGCTACCAAGTTAGGAGGGAAAAAGCGACGCACAAATCATCTAAGGGCCCAGGAGGAAAAGTGGGAGAGAGCGCTCGTGCTTGCTGCGGGCCTGTGAGTGCTTTCCTTTCTCCTGCACTACCGCAGTGTGGGAGGAGCACGTACACTGGAGCCACCTGGGGGAAGCAAAAGTGCAGCTCCTCGGGTCCCTTCCCGTCTGACTTAACTAGAATCTCCGGTGCTTGCGCCTGCTGTGGATCCACGTTGCAGCGGATTCCTCAGGTAATTTTTTTTTATTTTTAATATTTACTTATTTGAAAGGCAAAGTTACAGAGAGAGAAGGAGAGGGGAGAAGGGAGAGGGGAGAGGGTAGAGGGGAGAGGGTAGAGGGGAGAGGGGAGAAGGAGGTCTTCCATCTGCTGCTTCACTCCCCAAATGGCTGCTCATATCAGCCAAGGCTGGGCTATGCTGAAGACAGGAGCTTCATCCGGGTCTCCCATGTGGGTGCAGGGGCCCAAGCACTTGGGACATCCTCTACTGCTTTCCCAGGTGCATTAGTAGGGAGCTGGCTTAGACGGGGTGCAGCTGGGACTTACTGGTGCCTGTTTGGGATGCCAGTGTTACAGGCAGCAGTTTAACCTGCTGCTCCACAACGCCAGACCCTCCTATAGTAATTCTTACCCACATATAAGTTTGACACCACTCCTCTGGGCTTTTTCAACTGTTACTGTAAAGGACTCAGTTGCCTTTGGGAATCCATTTTGTTCATCTACATTGGAGATCTCTTTTGTGGGAAGAGAAGCAATAGCAAAGAAGGTAAAGTCTTCAGCGACCTCTAGGGGTTGCCTTGGAGAGTGACCAGCTTTATAGTGATAAGGGATTATTCAGAGGTACTAGGAAAAAAATAAGTATTTTTGAATTATTACTAGCATTAGGCATTGCGATGGGTAATTATATACACTGTCTCCCAATGCTACTATTACCTGCATTTTACAGAGGAAGAAATTCACCTGCGAACCCATTGGCCTGCTTGGTCAACCTCCTCAATCTATTTTCTTCACTTGGCTTCCAGGACACTCTTTTCTTTTTAAAGGTTTATTTATTCATTTGAAAATCAGAGTTACACAGAGAGAAAAGGAGAGGCTGAGAGAGAGGTCTTCCATCCGCTGGTTCAATCCCCAACTGGCCGCAACTCATCTCTTCCGGAGCAAAGTGGGTTCCCATCAATTGTATCACCCACAGAGTTGCACAGATTGAGGCATTGTCTTCATTACTTAATTTACTTGGGAAAAAAATCATACTGAGTTACACGAATTTTTTTTTCTTTCAGTGAGATGCAATATGTGGTCTGTGGTGTACTTCTTTCATATCCTGTTTGGGTTTAAAGATGAGTCCCCAGAAGTTCTAACTCGCAAAAAGAAGCAATGCACAATTCTGTGAATTTTCTGTACCTAGGTTTTGCTGAGTAAGGCTGACTCATCACCAGATAGACCTGGATAAGAGATGCAGTAAATGACTCTGCTTGGTGCATCCGGAGTTACCGGCAATTGGCTTCGTCCTGGAGAAGCAAGACTGACAGCTCCCTGCAGTGAGTACTGTGGAGACTCCTTTGGACAATGAAGCTGCGGGGCCAATAGTCCTGCCTCATCCAACCAAACAGCATGGAGTTCTGGGTGCTGTATTCTTCATGTCCTCTACGTGGCTAGCAAAAGACCCAAGTTGCCGGGTTATGAAACCCATCTCCCAAGCCCGAGGGTGGGCCGCACCCCAAATCTTCAAGCTTTTCAAAGAAATTCAGAAGCTTTCCTCTCTGCCCATTGTCACCACCTCCAAATCCTACCCTGCTCCTGCAGATCTTTCCCAGGACTTCCAGGATTACAATCCTGGTTGCTCCCAACACACTGAATTGTTTTTTTAAAAGGGAGAGTGTAATCACCAGATTTCTCAGAGACTAATGAATAAGCAATTTGAAGTATTTGTTTCCACAATTTGTTTTTACCACTGAAAACCCAGACAATTCCAAGAACCACAGTCAGAAAATAAAAGGAGAAGAACAGGAAAAATGTTGTGCCTTGTAAAACATTTATCAAATTTTCCCTCACAAATTCCCAGCAGTGTGACCACACATACAGCTGCTTAGATTTATGGCTCGATCTCTCAAAATTGAACAATTTGCTTCAAGGAAATGAGTAAATGGAATGCTTGAAGGTGAAAGAAAAGATTTTAGTTGATGTCAGTGATTAAATTGTGTCAGTGTTGTATTGTTTATTTTTGGGTTACAAAAAGAAAGCCCAGACTTGTAAAAAAAAGAAAAGAAATCTCAACCGAGTGACTATCATTTCCTGTTGCAATCATTTATCCATAAGGAACCTTCATACACTTCAAAATTTGGCATAGTCCATGGTATGACTACCCTACAATGGATGCTTGGTGACAATTGCTATGACAAGGTGGCTATGTGACAATGAACCTGAACTTGTTGAAAAACTTGCTTCCCTTGATGTCCAAGATACCACATTTTTCAAATTTTCCTTTCACCTCCCTGGCCATTTCTCATTCCCATTAGCGGAGCCTTTCACGGTCCTGACTTCGAGTCATTGGACAGTCTCAGAGTTCAGTCCTGGGTCACCTTCTCTCCCTTCATTGTTTCCATCCATGGTCTCGGCTAGTCTTTATGATACCATCTATGCGCTGATGATCCCTTTCTTTCCATCTTCACACCAGAACTCCCCCATGAATTCCAGACTCCTCTCAAAGAAATGTTTACACGACATCTCCATTTGGACAT